CAGACTGGGACCCCGACTCCGACAGAACCCACCTCACAACTCCAACGAAGACGCCCCGCCGCCAGAAGCGAGACACTGCAGCAACGCCCAGCAAAACACCACAACGACCCCCGTGCGCCCATCCCGCCCGCGAGGAAGACCTCAAATCCCCACGACCTCGAGACCCGCCGAAAGATGACACACAATCCCTCAACAAAACGAAAAAGAAAAGAAAAGAAAAGGAGGGAAAGTAGGGGAGGAGGAGAAAAGGAGGGAAAGAGGAGAGAAAAGGGGAGTGAAAGGAGGAGGAGGAGGAGGAGGAGAAAGGGAGGGAAAGGAGGAGGAAGATGGGGAGAAAAAGGGAGGGAAAGGAGGAGGGAAGGAGGAAGGAGGTGAAGGGGGAGGAGAAGAAGACGGAAGAGAGGATGAGAGAGGGGTGGGAAGAATGTTTAGGAGGGCAACACTACCCCCTCCCCCTCCCCCCCCAAAAAAAAAAAAAAAAAAACTACTACCCTTCAAAAAAAAAAAAAAAAAAAAAAGAATAAATAAAATTAAAAATTAAAATAAAAAACGAAACCATCCGCATCCATCACCATAACCGTCACTGACCTTATTAGTCACCATAATTCGATCATAAATAACCCCACCATTCCGTCACCGTCGTAATCGCGGGCTCCTACCGATAAAACGATCACCATCACGACAATCGGCATCAACAACAATCCCAATCAGTCGCACGCCCCAGCCCTCGCGACGATGACCCCCGCCCGCGATGAGCGCCCTCGCACGGCTCCTTGGCATTGCACGGCTCCTCTGTGGTGGTGGGGGTGTGGGGTGGGTGTGGGGGTGGGGGGGAAGAAAATCATTGCTCGCACGGCTCCTTGTGGGGGGGTGTGGGGTGGTGTGGGGTGGGGATGGGGGGTGAAGAAAATCATTGGCTCGCACGGCTCCTTGTGGGTGGGGGTGTGGGGGTGGGGGTGGGGGTGGGGGTAAAGAATCATTGTCGCCACGGTTCCTTGTGGGTGGGGGTGTGGGGTGGGGATGGGGGGGGGTGAAGAAATCATTGCTCGCACGGCTCCTTGTGGGTGGGGTGTGGGGGTGTGGGTGTGGGTGGGGTGGGGGAAAGAAATCATTGCTCGCACGGTTCCTTGTGGGTGGGGTGTGGGTGTGGGGATGGGGGGGGGGGTGAAGAAATCATTGCTCGCACGGCCTCCTTGGGTGGGGGTGGGGGTGGTGGGTGGGGGGGTGGGGGGTAAAGAATCATTGCTCGCACGGCTCCTTGGGGAAGGGTGGGTGAAGAAATCATTGATTGATGTGTGGTGGGGAAGACGGGGGGGGGGGGGTAAAATTATTATAGAAGTGCAACCGTGCGATGTGATGGTAAGTGAGGCTGATACGATGATATATGCTAGCAACTAGAATT